CGACAATAGGTTTAATTACTGCAAGGCCCTCTCCGGCAAGACGCTGTTCAGTGCGCCCTATGGAAATTATACAGTTACGCTGAACGAGTTGAAGTCCATGGTAAAGGCCAGCGCATCAGGCACAATTATTCGAGCCCGGGAGGAAGGCTTCAATGAAGTCCAGAGGAGGAAACGACAAAGTACCGCTGAATCCACACCGACTCCTAAGAAACCAACGGCAGCGGTCGAAAGCAACCCCAAAACAGATGCTGCCACCAAAAACTACTTCGCCTCCCTCAGGGAGGAAACGATGGAAACGGACACTTCTGGCGCAGAAGCCACTGCGCTGGAGGAGGGAACCTCAGGTAAAGCAGGCAGCCCCCCCCAATAATTCTCAAGTCCATAGTGAACCTCATTCAGTTGCAGAAGCAACTGAAAAATGTGGTCAAAGGCGACTTCGAGTTCCGCAGTACCAGAAACGGGAGCAGAGTCCTCACCAAAAGCATGGCGGATTTCGAAGCCGTCAAGTCCCATCTATCCAACAACAAACTTTCCTATTTTACATTCTTTCCCAAGTCCCTAAAACCCATAAAGGCTGCAATCCGTCACCTCCCTCACAATACCCCTGTGGAGGATATATCTGATGGACTGGTGACACTGGGATTTGATGTGGTTAGCGTCAAACAGATGACAACCACCCGCGGGTCGCCTGCAGACGAAAGAATAGCAAGAAACCTTCCGATCTTCCTTATCACCCTACCCAGGATGGCAAAATCACAAGAAATCTTCGAACTACAAAGCCTTTGCCACATTTCCATTCGGGTTGAGGCATATGGAGCACAGAGTGGCCTTACGCAATGTCACAACTGCCAACAGTTTGGCCATGTCTGGGCCAATTGCAAACAACCTCCCCGTTGCATGTGGTGCGGGGTTGGCCACCTGGGCAAAGAGTGCCCTGAGAAGGAGAACGCTGCCTCCACTCCAGCTTGCTGCAATTGCGAATTGAATGAAGGAGAGAAGCCCTATCCCGCCAACTATCGGGGCTGCAGACACGCGAGGGAGGAAATGCAGAGGAGGAAATCGCAGAGAGCACCCAAAACTACAACGGGAAGGGTGTTCTCCTCGAATATCGTTACCCCTGGAGTCTACTTCGCGGCGGCGCTCCGTGGCAGCACATCGCAGAAGCAGCGACCTCAGAATCTCCAAGCTCCAGTGGCAGTCCGACCAGAAGCCACGAAACCGAGCGTCCCGGGTCCTTGTACAGGAACAATAAACAGGTCAGTCAACTCAGGCTACTCATGTAAACAGTCCATCTATCGACAATATGTTGAGAGTAGTGACTGTAGTACAGCAGATTATGACAGAGGTCAGTGGTGCAGTGTCCGAGGAGGAAAAAATAATGGCCAGTACTAAAATTGTTCTAAACCTAATGAAACAAAATGGCCACTAGAGTTCATAGGCCACTCAAAGTCATAGCATTGGGAGGCAGCGCTATGAGCTCAGTAAACAGCTGCAAGACCTACACGTAGATGTGGCCCTCTTTTCAGAGACACATATGAAACCTCATGAGAGGTTCTTTATTCAAAATTACCACTTTTATAGAATCGACCGCCACTCGGGCAGAAAAGGCGGAACTGCCGTTGCAGTAAGAAAAGGCATTCCCCATAACCAAGTAGACCTACCACCCCTTGTTTCAGTAGAAGCGACAGGGGTCTGCATACCAATTGGTACTGCTTGCAGCTGTTTATAAATCTCCATGCAAAGCCTGGAGTGATGCTGACATCACTGAGCTCTTAAGCTTCAGACGAAAGTCTATTTTGGCAGGTGATTTGAATGCTAAGCACCCATTTTGGAATAGCAGAGTTTCAAACCCCTCAGGCTTGAAACTAATGAATTTATTTGATATGAGTGAATTTGAAATTTCAGCACCACAGTGCACCACCCATTATTCCCCTGCGGGAAATGGTGACATATTAGATATTGTGGTTCACAAAAATATCACATTGTCTGATGTCATCGTCTCTGATATTTTGGATTCAGATCACCTGCCAATAGTATTCCACATACTGGATCACGTTAAATTTAGGAATCTTTCGGAACCCATTGAAAAATTTAGAGATTGGGAATGGTTTCAAAGCCTCGCTTCTGAATTAATATCACCTAAACTAGAAATTCATTCGGGGTAGAAGCCGATAAAGCGGCACGCGACTTTGCAGCCTCTATTTCTTCGGCATTTAGGTTGTCGACAAGCAAAATTATACTTCCGGACATAAACAACGATCTTCCTGGTCTAGATCGTTTGATAAAATATAAACAGAGGCTACGAAAACTGTGGCAAGAAACCAGGGATCCAGCGTGTAAAACGACAGTCAATTGGGTCACCAAATCAATCAGGCGAATGACCCGAAAAAAGGCACTTGAACAGTGGGAAACAAATATAGGTAACGCTGAAGTCACACCTCAGATTATATGGCCCATTGCGAAATCTCTCCTTAAGAGAGATGGACCAAGGGCACCAACTGCTATTCATGGTTCTTCTGGCCTTAAATTTTATCCTTCTGAAAAAGTCAACGAAATTGCCGACTGTTTGGAAATTCAGGTCACGCCACATGACCTGTGCGATGAAAACCATGACCAGAGGGTGGAGGCTAGAGTTCAAGCTCTGCTGGAAACCGTAGGCGAGAACACCCCTCAAAGGATCAGACCATGTGACGTTCAGAAATTAATAAAATTCCTGAAATTAAAAAAGGCCTGTGGAATTGACGGCATCCCAAATGCATTCCTCAGGCACCTTCCAAGGCGACCATGATTTATTCAATCATTGCTTTCTGCTCTCTCATTTTCCAAATATTTGGATGGAAGCAAAAATAATAACTTTACCTAAACCGGGTAAAGACCCGAAATTTCCTCAGAATCTACGTCCAATCAGCCTCCTGTCCACGACAGGAAAACTATTCGAAAAAGTAATTTTGAAATTCCTCCGTAAACATATTGAAGAAAGAGGCCTGCTCAACGCAAGTCAGTTTGGTTTTCGTCCATGTCACAGCACGACATTGCAATGTATGAGGTTGGCGGACCACGTGACCCTTAATTTCAACAATATAATGTCTACGGCTGCAGTGTTCTTGGACATCGAAAAAGCCTTTGATACCACGTGGCACTCAGTCTTGCTGTATAAGTTATCAAAATTGGTATTCTCGAAAAGTTTGACCAAGCTTATTGGGTCCTTTCTTTCTAAACGTAAATTCAGGGTCTCGGTTGAAGGCGAAATGTCAACGCCAAGGGAAATGCAAGCATGGGTGCCGCAAGGTTCTGTCCTTTCCTCTACTCTTTTCAAATTGCACAAAAATGATGCCCCCCACACTCATTTGTGTTCACCTGGCCCTCTTTGCGGACGACGCCTGTCTATATGCGTCAGATCGCAAGGAGGGTTTTATTGTTAGAAAACTCCAGCGCAGTCTCAGCTCAATGGAGACCTGGTGTGAGCGCTGGAATATAAAAATTAATGAAGATAAGATTTGGGGGGTCTACTTCTCTCGTGGTCCTCGACCTCCTGAGTCTTGTCTTACTTTAAATGGAAGAATAGTAGTGTAAATAGTGCAAAATATCTAGGTGTAATCTTCGATAAGAGAGTGACATGGAGATTACACATAGAAATGATCGAAGCCAAGGCCTTCAGAATATTCATTAGAGTATATTCCCTACTCACTAGTGAGCGATTAAGCGCTAACAGTAAACTGACCGTCCACAAAGCTCTTATTAAATCCGTATTGACTTATGCTGGTCTCGACTAGGAGTTTGCGGCAGATACCCATCTAGTGAAATTGCAGCACCTACAAAACAAGGTTCTCCGCATGATTGGCAATTTTCCAAGGCGCACACCGGTCCGCGAATTGCACATGGCATTCAAAATTCCATACGTATATGATTACATAACAAAATTATGCAGACAGCAAGCAGAAGTCATACAAAATCATGATAACGAGAATGTTCGCAACATCGGACAAGGCGAAGCCCGCCACAGAAAGTATAAGAGGCTTAAACATGGTGGCGGTCAGGCATACGCCCGTTCAAGTGACTAGACTGCCGTGATAGCGATTACTGCTAGAAATAGGGCATAATCTGCTGTACAATACTTGGATTGACAGGGGCCTTGTAATTATTGTACATAGAAATAGTAATTAAGACTAGTATTAAATTCTATATTATATATCAATACTGATAATGGACTGACTAAGGCTCACAAATGACAGACCCGACCTCTCGGCAGAGAGGGCGCCCAAAATGAACAGGACCAAACTTTCACAAAGAAGAAAACATCAAGTCATGAGCCCCAGTTGGGGCTCGACACCAAGACAGACAGACTGACTGATCGTCAGTTGCAACATGAGTTTGACTTTGACTCGCTAGCATCAGTTCTTCGATCGTCCTCACTACGACAAAGACAGCTAACACGGCTACTCTGACGTCACGAATCAGCAATAGCTCTCCCTGAACCGCGCTGAGACAACGGCTCTGCCATCTTCCGCACCAGTGGCAGCTGTTTCTACCGGCGCACACAGCACCGCATCACCGGCCAGTCAGACCAGCTGACCGACAATAAAGAAGACCTGGTCTATTACAGAGCAGCTAACGCTACTAGTGCAAGCACGTCGAACAAACGGCCCATATCAAGGCCCGCAAACTTGTGAGGAACTATTCTGTAAATTCGAGAATAACATGTACAATTGTTATAGTTTTACGTGGTTGTCTCTTAGGACATCGACATCGCACACTGTATTGAACAGGCAATTACATGTGTACGTTCACATGCACTCACACATATGCACGCAAGGACGCACAGCACAACTGCAAGATGTCCCAAATGCACAAAGATAGTACAGGGCTCTAAAACGTTTTCAGTGTTCCTATCATGAAAGAAGAAGCTATGCCTGAAACAGATTTAATTTTCTTACACATCAAGAACCCTCTACTTGTACAAGATATACTGAAGAGCTCCTCCTTATGCTAGAGAAACTGACCTGATGCATTCTGGTATGTGTGATCCATATGAGGGCCATTAGGGGATGAGCCATTCTGTCGCATCCACGACATCCCCATGTTCTTCCAGCCACACAGTCCCTCTTCAAATGTGCAGTGTGAGTAAGATGGAAGTTTATCTGTCAACAGCAGCACACATTGTTACTAGAACCCATCAAATAAACCCAATAAAATATTAAAAATCAATCAGCCAATGAACATTAACCTGTTTACAATAAATTAATTATTTGACACAAAGAAACATAATTTCATATTTGGAGCCATATTGTTATACTTTTTTTTTATGCTAGTGGGGTTAGGCTAAGTCCCTTGTAATGCGGCTACTTCTGGCCTATTGTACCAGCCCCAGATGATAGGTGAGGGTTATTGTGCAGCAATTGGAGGAATGAAGATTGGCAGGGGAAACCGAAGTACTCGGAAAAAACCTGCTCCAGCGCCACTTTGTCCACCACAAATCCCACTTGACCAGACCCGGGATCGAACCCTGCCCGCCGTGGTGGAAAGCAAGTGACTAACCCCTTGAGCTATGGCGCGGCCTAATGTTATACTTACTAGACCTATACAAGACCATACTTTATTTATTGTCACAGTGTTTTAAAGTATTATAGCTGATCAGTGATACAATAAAACCCTATATTTGGTATCATTCTGATGTAGGTAGATACACAGAATGCAGCAAAATAAACTGCCATTAAAAGATTAGTCACTAACAATCTGTAACAAGGTTACGTTTTTAGGCTTGACCTTTGGTTGCCCATGAGGATAAGCGTGAAATATTGCAAGAAGTAGAGAGACAGTGGTTTTAACTGTATTATGATCCATATTGAGGAAGATGCACTCTAACTATGGTTTTGACTGAACTTCACACATGCTAATTCAATATTTTTACCAGATAAAGTGTATATTCCGTGGAGAACGGCCCAGTCTACAAAAAAAAAAAAAAAAAAAAGAACTATCATCAATGGGGAAGTCAGTACAGAACTTGAGCACTACAGTAAGTTGGTCATATGATATTACCACATCATGATATATTACAGATGCACTTAAATTAGCAATTTATCTGAAAAATATTGTAACGTGTTTTTCCACTGAAGACGCCGTTCGGATTTTTAATGGGTTTATTCAACCATTTACAAATCGTAACTACAATTAATTATAACATTGTTGTGGGTTTAGACAATTTACAAACCACACACAATAATCTCTTCACATTGTCTTAAATAGTATTCTCTTATTCACAGTACAACACGGGAGCTATACCAGTGTCACTGTATTACACACCCCCAGTACCGTCTCGCACTATCGCCTCTAATCACACGTTCCGGTATTCTTCACGTTCACGATTCACTCGCTACAACTGAACTCGGCGACTGCTACAATTCAACTGACTCCTTAGGCTGTCCAGTTCTCTTATAAACCCTCAGCCAGACAGCGGAAAACGCGCCTCAATTCCCTGTTGCGTAAACGCCGTGTTTACAGGCGTTGCTCGGTAACGCTATCGAGAGTTGTTTATTGCTGTGTATTAAGCGCGGTATCCCCTGTTACGTCACTGTGGGAAGTGCTGTTACGTCACCGTGGCAATGGTTGTCTGACACAGTTGCTCTTCTGTTACGTCACCGCGGGGGAGGGGGTGTTTACCAAGCGTTGCGTAATGATGGAAGGAGTGGTGGTATGTGATGTCACTCGCGCGACAGCAGAGTTCACGTGACCCCTACTTCCTGTTGAACCATGACGTCACAATATGTATGTACGAGTAATAAAAAGGAATTCTATTTTGTTACAGATGTGTATTAATGCATTCCAGTCCAGTTCATTAAACTGCTGCTGGCCCTTGTCAGCATAGAGATTCTTGATTCCAGGCCCCACAGGACTCATGGCCATATTTTACTTTCTGGAAGCTGAGTTATGAAGGCCCCCAGAGCTGTCAGGCAGTAAAATAACCCATCTTCTCAGAAACATTTTATATAAAATACCAAACTACAGTACAGAAAGCAAGTGGACAGTGCAAACTGACTATCTGTCAACACAAAAATTGTTTCAAATATGCACGTAATATGACATACACAAAAAGTTGTCTCAAAAATTTAAACTGACTCATGTAAAAATAGGTTTCTTTAACTGTTTTTACTTGCAACCATATTTTCTTATCAAACCCATGACCTGAACTCTCATGTTTTTTGGGCATATTTCTGTGTTACATTATGTTTAACTTCGCATGTTTATATATTTCCTATGGCATGATGATTATGCATAAGTGCTAAAATATATAGCTACATAAACCTAATCTTGATCCGTGTTTTTTTGGACAGCGTTATGATTCTGTATTTGTAAAGGATTTGTAGGAAGTTATCATGGGCTGAGGTACCATCCCAGACCTTAGCTGGAGGGACTGAGGAAAGCCGCAAAAGACCTCAATCAGGATAACAGTTGTCCTGGCTGAGATTTGAATGGAACATCACAAATACAATTCTAGAGCATTTTCACTATCCATATCTGCTATGTTTATTTGAATCAATTAATTGTTCCACTCACCACAGTCCTGCTTTTCGTCCTCTCCTTCAGGGCAGTCTTTGTGCAGGTCACACACGTACTGCCTGTCGATAGACACATTGTTGGAGCACATGAAGTTCCTGGCTGTGCTTGAGATCAGTGGTCGTGCCTCTAAACACAAGAACAACATCGTACATTTCTTCAATATGTTCAGGCTTTGGAACAGGAGTTTCTACACGTTTCTTATACACATTGCATGCAATAAAACCTTAAATTTTGCCTTGTATAATCATCATTTGTTTGTACGTTTCACCTTCCATGTCTACAAAATTTTATACATAAATTCTTGCTTCTATTTAGATCTTACTATACAGTATGATCGCTCTTTCAGTACAGTAGTGCCAAGGGTTCCATTCCCAGCAGGGTCAAGAGATTTTTCTTTTCTTCAAAGCGTCCAGACTAACTCCGGAGCCTACCCAGCCTCCTGTTCAGTGAGTACTGGGTGCTATTTTTCCAGAGCTAAGTCAGCTGGGGCATGAAGTTGACCACTCACATTTATCTAGTGCCAAGGTCAAGAATGGTGGAGCTACATGTCCACTCCCCATACATCTTTGTTGCATGGTGCTGAATTATTTGTGTACAGGGACATCTATATCTTTTATCTTACAACATAAACACAAAATGTACTCTCAAGTAATATGTTCAGAATAGATTTCACAGACTTTAATTCTAATTTCTACAATATTCTAAAATGTTTATAAATATTTCACTTGAGCTTCATGTAAAGTAGGCTTATAGAGGATGTATGTGAACAAAAATTAAAGTCAACAACAAACGCTGTCAAATTATGCTGAGTAGGGGTGGAAGATGAAATAGAAAAACATAATACTGAGACGTGGATGGCGCGGTAACGTAACGGTACTTCCCACAGTGGCGTAACAAGGGGACATCGCTGTAATATGAGGCAACAGGGAAAAAGGCGGCTGAGCAGTATGTGCTCAGTATATATAAGTATAAGTATATATATAATGTATATAAATAACATTTTATTATTATTATTATTGTTATGCCCCAAATATTATGTACAGCAGATATGTTTTTTTGGGTAAATTTGGAATAAGTGTATCTCGACTTTACGATTAAGAAATAGAAATAATGAAATGTACCAGGAAGCTTGGGTTTGCAAAGAAGTGTAACAGGCAATCGCTTTGTAATCAGAATGTTAGCACGACAGGTAATAACGCTGACATTGAGGAAGAAGCCATATGAAGTGGGTCATAAAAACTATGGCATGAGGAAAACGCTGAGTCGGAGAGGGCGGTAGACCTGAAAGAGCCAACCCCCTTTCGATAAACAGTCAATGAGTGGGCCACACCGACCCAAAATCACGTCAGGACGGGAGGGTGCATACACTCCCGGAACCCAGCGAATCAGCAAAAAGAGGGTACAATCCCTGGAGGAATCAATCGAAAAAGATCATTATTAATTGTCAAAGAGTTCAGCCGTAGGCTATCGCTGAGAGTAATGGCGATTAGTAGTAGTTGGTTGGTGATGGCGGCCTGTATCATCAGTACAAGTAAGTGAACCTACTTCATATAAACCATGAACATTAAGTGTGATAATATTAAAGTGCAAACCCCAGGGAGAGAAAGTGAAGACTAGATGGGCTAGGTTTACTGAGAAAGAGAGACAGAAGCGTAGGATACCCAATAGCAGGGTGACAGGAGTAGAGTTAACGTGTGTGCTACAGGATAATAACCCACATGTAATGCGAACCGACGAACGTCGGCAAATTGTGTATATATTATGTATATAGCGACATAGGAGAATAGAGTAGGATAGAAATGCCCTGTGATGTTAATTGAACCTAGCATTCCCTCAAGTGTTATCATCTTCCCTGCTGACTCCAGCCTCCCCCCGAATCCTCCAGGAGAATTGCAAACTCAAGCCAAGGCGGCAGATACATCAGTGATTGTAAATTTAACCGAGCCCCTCCTTACGGCATAACAAGATGATGGCAGCGCGACGCCTTGGTGGCAGCGGCGGGATACCTCCACGCACCCCTGTCACCACGGCATAACAATTATTATATTATGTTTATTATTATCAACAAGATTTTTATCAGACACAAATAAATGGTTTGTGAAGGCCCAGTTCCAGATCAAGAAGTGTAAAAATAAATTACCAGACATCTCACTACATCCAGAATATATCCTTACCTGTTGGAGAACACGTAATTATACTGATCTATCTTGTTCTGATCAGTGAGAAGATGTAAGCCCATTTCTTGATGATCTAAACCAAGGGTCTCCAAACTATGGCCCGCGGGCCAAATCCGGCCCGCGATGTGATTTTCATCCGGCCCGCGAAAGAATTGTGTAGAAATGCGCCAATTGAACTAATTTTCCAATGAGTACTGGTAAAAAATACTTATTCATAGATTTCAAATTCATTAATTAAGATTGTGTTTAAAATATTGTAACATGTTGCGCAACGGAGAACCCCTCCCTACCCAGCAGCAACGTGGCAACTCAGACCACAGGCGCGTGGCGGTAACGTAGCGCTCCCACCCACCCCTCCGCGGTGACGTAACGCGCAACGCTACATACCCGTAATCAACTTCCTACTGTGACGTGGAACGCAACAGGCA